CTGCGGTTCAAACCCAGGCAGTATAGACTGGTGTTTTTGCCCCAGAGTTACATGTATTGCAAGGACCAATAATGAAGACTACCACTGGCTGCATACCTACTCCAAAAAATTAGCTTGCTAAAAGTTTTTCCACTAAGTGCACTTTTTTTTTTCCAAGGTTTGTTTATTTGAGAGGTAGAGTTACAGAGAGGCAGAGGCAGAGGCAAAGAGAGGTCTTCCATTCGCTGGATCACTCCCCAATAGCTACAATGGAATGAGTTGGGCCCATCCAAAGCCAGGAGCCAGGAGCTTCCTGCAGGTCTCCCACGTGGGTGCTTGGGCCATCTTCTACTGCTTTCCCAGGCCATAACAGAGAACCGTATCTGTAGTGGAGCAGCCCGGACTTGGGCCGGCATCTACATGGGATGCCAGCACTGCAGAGGGTGCCGTTATTTGCTCTGCCACAACACTGGCCCCTAAGTGCACATTTGAAAACAAATTCTTTTCTAAATATTATTTATTTTCATTTGAAAGGCAGAGAGATAGATTCCTAAGCATTAAGTAATTCAGCAGATGGAATATTTAGCATAAATTAGTCTCTGTATGCATTTAATTTTGATGATCACATTAGGATTACAATTACTGGAAACAATTGTTCATTTTAAAAAAATCATAATTTAGCAAGAATTTATCTGTTACACTGACGAACCTAAGTGAAATAAGCAATGGGACAACTTTTCAGTTTAAATATTAGGTTTATAGCAAGCATGATTTGAGTGTTATGTTGGGGGGTTAGGTGGCAGCATTTGCTCCCACTGCCCAAATCCTCATCTCATTTTCCCACTTCATACCAAGTTGTGATTGTAATTGTGTGTGTGTGTGTGTGTAATCTTATACATTAAGTCTTTCACTTCTCGGAAACTGAACCAGCCAATTTACTCACTTTGATTGACAGTGGCTTCTGTCCATCCAAGCTTACTGAAGTCACCAGTTAATGACACTTGCTACATAGAATAGATTTTTCTTATATGAACCCATAATAGAAAATTTACCAAGTCTGTCAGGCAAAAATCATAGCTGTGTTGAATGAATGCCTACTGCTAGTCTGTAGTGGGTGATAATTATTATAATTACAAAAGAGCATAACTAAATGTTATACTTTATGCTAAAAGTCCCCATGACTCCACTCCATAAGTAGATTTCACAAAATATTGTTGTTTAGTGTATTACTTTTTCTCCTGAATCTCAAAAGAAAAATGTCACCTTATACCAATACTCTGTTCACAATGTTGATTTAATATATATATCTCATGTAGGCAAACTTCAATGTGTAGGTTTGTTTAGAATAATGGGATTTACATGCACATCACTTCATTTTATTAATCACTTTGGAAATACTTATAAAGTGATCCTAGTATACTAATTTGAATTTATACTGCTCAAAATGCTTTGTTCTCTTAATAGAAGTCAGTTATAAGGTTTAAATACCAAACTTTCAACAATTAAGAAAAAAAACCCTTCACTTCGAGAATATTATACCTAAGATGTATGTTCTATGGCACTTTGAATATGTTCTTGCTAAGTGAGACATTTAAACATTTCTATTTTTAAAAACTACTTTTAAGTACTTGTAATTCTAAGGGGAAAAATATAAAAATCACAACTGCTAAGAGGAAGAGTGGAGGTTAGTAACTATGGAAGATGTGCATATCACATTAAGGCAAATGTGGAAGCCAGAGCCTGAGCCTGAAGGTACATATGTTTTCAGAACAAATAAGGGGTACTTTTTGGCCATTTACCTCAAAAAATCAAATAAGGTATTTTCATCATAAAGCAATCGAAGTATTTTATTGAAAACATAACTTTACATGTGGAATTTTAAAATTCTGAAATTTAAAAAAATGATTTACTTTCTTGGGGTCAAATATTTTACAATTTACCACAACAATAGATAAATGCTATTCTCATTTTACATATATTAAGCATTTTAAATGTGGATTATGGAAGTGGGAAAACATCCTTGAGGTATCAGTTTTCCAATGAGTGCCATATCTCTTCCTCAGCTAAATGAAGTTACATGTTAGAAACAGAGCTGGCATTACCAGATACTGGGACCTAGGGGAGAGAATTTTGTCAAAGGCTCAGTGTTTCCATAGATATTGAGAGGATTTTAGTCGCTAAGTGAGAGTCTCCAAAAAGGCATGAAACTGGGAACCAGGGCCTAAGTGTAACGTGATGCTACATTTAGCACAATCAGAAGTTGCAAGAATTTTCTAAATGCTTATGAGACTGTTTAAGAGCCACTCAAGTAAATTAGACCCAGAAGAAAACAGCTTGAGGAAACATGGGAGAGTCTTTGACAGGACAACTTTGCCATGGTTTTAGAATACCTTAAATAGAACTGCTTCTCTATCACATTCACCTTCTCTCGAGGGCATCTTCACACGGACACTGATGATCATTAACCGAGTGCAAGACTCAGTCAGGCACATTTTGATGGGCCCTAACGTTTGCTGCTTCCAGGCCTCAAAATGACTTGTCCCAGCCAGATTATCAGTAGCTGATATATTCCTTTATATTCTTTGACTTTTACTGTATGTAGAATATAGAATGAATGACTGCACAGGATTCTTCTCACAAAATGGGGCTTCTAGAAAAAGAACTACAGTCCTGAGTTCTCAGCACCGTTCGACTCTGCAGTATGATGTCTGTGCCAGTTCTTTCACAGTGCCTCAAATGTCCTCTCTCCCAAGAAATTCATGTTTTTCCTAGTGAATTTCTTGGCCTGAACACCTAGTTTTCTAAACTGTTATTATTACCACAACCCTTGATTGCAACTGAATTGATTGACCTTGGCCTGGGTTGAGTCTGTTGGCTACTTTATCAAGTCCTTGCATTGAACCCTGTCTGTTGCTATCACCTTTTTCAAGAGTTGAGAAGCTGATCCATAGCCAATCATAGCAGCATGCAACTGTTTTTCACACATTAAGGTCCATGATCTGTTGCTTTGGAGTGTTAAAAGTAATGGATTTTTATATAAATCTGAACAAATTTTGTTTTCAAATATTCCAGGGGGATTTATCCTGCTTTCCATAACTTATTATGTAAACATATATAAGTTTGACTTTAATTCCACATTAAAGAAGTCCTAGCATTTGTTTCATGGTCCCAAATCTTTAGTCATTCTGCTTTTGCTTAAAAAAATAGAAGTGAAAGATTCTCATATTCAAAACAATTTGAAAAATTCCAATGATTTAAAATTTAAACAGTCAGATTTGTACGATGCATTGTAGGAACAGAATGGTGGAATAAGTATGTAAGCAAAGTTGTACTGGAACTTTTCTTTAGGAGTTGGGGTATTCTTTAAGAAAAAAATATTTAGAATGAATTACTTTTCAGCAAGAATTTGAAGGAATTTTTACTTGTGATAAAAAGTCTTCAATTAATGCCAAACAAACTTAAGCCTGAGGATTTGCAAGAAAAACAAACATTAACTTGTAGCAGAATGTCATTCAATAAAATTTGCTACATTTTACTAAGCCCAACAGTTATATTTTAATAGGAGTAAAGAATTTTTATATTGGACTAATTTTTTAAAGAAAAGCAGCATTATCAGTAAAGCAGTCAGCTATCGAAGACACACTTAAAAATATCTGACAAGGTTTCAACCTACCACTTCAGCTTCAGTTATTCCTGTGCCAATGTTAAAGGGAAAGAACCCACAAGGGTCATGGCCTTATAGATATGAGCCACAAAGAACCCTGTGACAATTAGTACAGCTAGAACAGCTATTAAAACCTACGCTGAATTTATTTTACCTAAGAAGATCATTTTCTTAGCATCAGCACATAAAACCTTAAATGATTCCTAGATGCGGTCTGGCCTAACTGTGATGTTGTGACTGGGTATATCAGTACCCAGTGAGTGGTACTGGGCCAAAAGTGTCTGGGGCCAAGCCCTGGCTCCACTCCTGATTCCAGATTCCTGCCAATGTGCACACTGGAATGCAGCAAAGGACAGTTCAAGTGCTTGAACCCTTGTCTCCCAGAGGGGAGACCTGGATTGAGTTCCTAACTCCCCAAAATTTGACCTTGCCCATCTCTGGCTGTTGAGGGCACTTTGAGAGTGAATCAGGGAATGGGTGCCATTTATCTCTTGCTCTACATCTCAAATAAAAGTAAGTAAGTAAACGTAAGCTTTAGAAATAAGTAATCAGCAAAGTTATTAATGTTACTTTGCACAGAGGCTACAAAATGTTCATGGAAAATGGATGTAAAGTATAATATACATTTCCATGGAACTTTTTGAATTCCCTCTGTGTGTGAAAAATAAGAAGTAATTGCAGTTAAATATACAAATGTAATAATTTTAAATATTCTATGGAAATAAGATGTCGAACTGTAATGCTAACCACTTGTGAAAGAGCTCACTATTTAAAATGATTTTCATGACATCAGAGATGAAAACACAAAAGTCAGATATTTTAGGAGCTAGAAACTATATTATAGCATGGTATGGAAGAATTAAAACATATTTCTTGCGTTTCTAACTATGGAACCTCATATAGTACCATATTATATAGTGTTTGGGTTACTTAATTTTTCTCTGCAGTGAAATATGTGTTTAGATATTGTATCCATACACAACATAGTGAATTTGAGAAGCCTTAGGGCTGTTAGCAGAATAGTGATCAATGTTCTGGACTGCGGACAAGCAAGCTTTTTCTCTACATGACCAGACAGTAAATATTTTACCCATTTTGAGCCACGCTGTCTCTGCCACAATTATTTAACCCTGCAGATAGCACAAAAGCAGACTTAGAGAATACAAAAACAAATGAATGTGACTGTCACCAATAAAAGTTCATTTACAGAATCATACATTGAGGGGTCTTTTGCAGCCCTACTGTAGGACGACAGTTTGTTGACCTCTAAACTATAAGAGTTATTCTTTATATTTTTTATTCTGATAGAATATGACAAAACATCCACAAAGTTTAATCAAATAGCAAAACAATGTACCTTTTCTCCAGGAATTCCAGGAACACCAAATTCACCTTTACTGCCAACTGAACCCTAAAATATAGAAATACTCATTAGGATTTTTAGGAAAGATATATTTACTGCTAATTTTGTCAGAGAATGTACCATTTCATAGATAAATAGCTTTAGCTTTCCTTGTGTCTCAGCTCATCCACAAGTCATTAAAGTATATTTTTTACAATTAATTGTGAAACAAGTCATCAGTGGATTTCTAAATACCAATCAGAACTAAAACTATACACTATCCACACATTAAAATGTATTTCTATTTACTAAAGATAAAGAATGACTCTACTGCTGTTAACTCAATTATTACCAAGAAAGAGTTTGAGTTAAAAACTATTTCCTACATGATGCTTGTAATTCAAATATGTCTTGACTGGTAGTCTCTAACATGCCCATATTTGTTTTGTTTAGTGTGCCTGACTTATATTCTCCAGCAAAACCCCTGCAGCAATGTCAATCCAATTGCCAGCTGCCCTACTCTTCCAACTACCAAATAGAGCTGGAGAAGAATCTGCCCAATTAAGCCTACCACCTCTGGCTGCTTTAACAACTCTATCACAAATTTGATATAATAAACTTATCTTTGGAACAGTGGAAAACAATATAAACTTCCTTTTTATTTTTTATTTTTTGACAGGCAGAGTGGACAGTGAGAGAGAGAGACAGAGAGAAAGGTCTTCCTTTGCCGATGGTTCACCCTCCAATGGCCACAGCGGCTGGCACGCTGCAGCCAGTGCACCGCGCGGATCCGATGGCAGGAGCCAGGCACTTCTCCTGGTCTCCCATGGGGTGCAGGGCCCAAGGACTTGGGCCATCCTCCACTGCACTCCCTGGCCACAGCAAAGAGCTGGCCTGGAAGAGGGGCAACCAGGACAGAATCCGGCGCCCCGACCGGGACTAGAACCCGGTGTGCCGGTGCTGCAAGGAGGAGGATTAGCCTAGTGAGCCGCGGCGCCGGCTTATAAACTTTTAAAAGGAGTTTTTCTGACCACCACTAAATTCTTGGTAGAAATTAACAAATATAAGTTTGTGAGTATAAGATGTCATTATTACACTGACTTGTTAAAAGAATTTCAGATGCAAGATACACAAAGAAACTTCACCTTCAAATTCTTAGATTAAATTATATTACATTGGGTAAAATCAATACCAGAAAAAGACTTTGCGATTTGTCCAATATATTCAATATGGTATTAGAAAGCATAAAGAAATATTTCTTGTTCTTGACATAAACAAAGAAGTTAAAAGCATAGTATTTGACCTAATTTTAGAGAGGTTAATTACTATGGGGAGATATTCCTTCTATTAAAAATTATGAAAACATTGTGATCAATTCATTTTCATTGGTGTGGGATGGCTTACAGAATGGGCAGATGAGTAATTTAAGATTGGGAAGACAACAAGCCATTACTTGTAATGGCTGAATTAGAATGGAATTTTCCACAGTGGGAATGGAAGGCAGGGGAAGATAAGAGGAATACATACCAGTTTCTGACTAAGGAATCAAGTAAGTTAACCCTGTCAATTTTAAATTTTTTGGTTTTTGCTTTTTTTTTTTTCTCAAAATACATCAGCAAAGCAATCACTTCCTAAAACTGACACAAATCAACTGGAGGTATGGAAAATAATAATGCCATAATAAACTGAAACATTATGAACTGAAAAATACAGCTCAAACTGCCCTATAGCTTCAGAAACATTGAAATTGAGCTATTTTATAAATCTCCAGAATTTTAATTCTGAAGTGGGTGAGGGTATGAACAAGGGTCTTAATGAACAGAGAAACTAATGTGGTTGCTAAGTAATTAGATTGCTAACTACATTTCTAAGAAAAAGAAATTAAAAGATTCAGAAAATTACAATAATTGAGTCTAAATGAAAGAAGCATGTTAATTATTATTTCAAATCATGTCAGAAAGAGTTTATAATGGGCAGAGAGCATGGTTAGAATAGTCTGATTAGGTGTCCTGGTGTCTAAACAATTATGTGTTTAGAATACAAATAGTAATGTTTCAAATTATATTACTGCATGAGAGGGGGCCATCAACTTTGTGAAAACCAAAATCAATATAACTGTAAAGAGGCATCACAGTATGGATGAGAAAATAGACAAAGGTAAACATTAAATCATGCCAAAACCTGTGGCTTTTTTCAAACTATGTCTGATTATTAATTGACTGGCAATATCAAACTAAAAGTGACGATCAGTACATTGAAAAGAATTTGCACTCTTTAAAGGAAAAATGGTAGAACAATAGTGAATAACAGGTTTCTTCTATGGTTATCATATCTAATCTTTCCTTGCAAATTGATTCTTTGCTTTTCATAGCAGAGTCCCCTGGGCAACTAAGGAACAGAACTTATAGATTCTAGAAAAAGCTAAGTTGATAATTTAGATTTTTCCTGAGGTACAGTTTTAATTCATTCACTCAACAAAGCTTACAGAGAAAAACAGATATATAATTATAACATATCAAGTGGCAATAAAAATGCCATGTAAGAAGATACAAGTGGAATGGAAGATGATTTTTATAAAGAAATGTCAGGATAGACCTCTTTATTTTAAAACGATTTTTAAGCAAGGGACTAGAAGAGATGAAACAGAGTACAGCTGGTTCCTTGAAGAACATTACAAGCGTATGTAATGTGATGAGAAGAGTTTGGAGCTGAAGTAAATTAGGGGACAGCGAGGGATACATTCTAGGGAGCAGTGAGTTGAGGATGCAGAGTTTGACACATATGAAGATTTGTGGCCCGTGATTAGAGATACCAGATTTATCTTAAGGGAGATAGAAAGTCACTAGTGGAACAAAGAAATGTTGAATATATTAAGTGATTAATCCTAACTTGATCATTAAAATGTATGCATGTATCAAAATATTACACTGTACTCTATAAATATGTATAATTATTATGTTTCAATAGAAACAAATAATCTTAAAAAAAAGGAAAGTCTTTAGTAGAGACTGCCACAGGTGGGACAGGATTTACTTACATAATTATTTGGAATAACTAATAATGTACTTGTACAAATAAAAGTATAATTTGTTCTATATAAAGTTGTTTCATTGAAACTGATACAAGTACATACAGTCAACTCATTTTTGACAAAAGTGCTCAGACCATACATTGGAGAATGGATAACCCCTTCAACAAATGGTGCTAGAAAAACTAAACTACATATGTAGGAGAATTAAATTAGGTCCCCGCCTTTCCCTATATACAAAAATCAACTCAAGAAGGATCAAAGAACAAAAGTTAAGATCTGAAACTATCAAGCTGCTAGAGAAGAAAAAATAATGGAAACACTTCAATATATTGATATAGATGATGACTTCTAGGATAAGACCCCCAAAGCACAGACAACAAAAGCAAAACTAGACAAATGGGATTATATCAAACTCAGAATCCTCTGCACAGCCAAGGAAATGATCAAAAGAGTGAAGAGACAAGCTATTTATCCAACAAAGAATTAATATCCATGATATATCTGCAATTCAAAAAGCAAGCAATACAATTAAGAAATGGGCAAAGGACCTCAATAAGCAGCTTTTAAAAGACAAAATACAAATGGCAAGTGAATATATGAAAAATGTTCAACATTACTAGCAATAAGGGAAATGCAAATCAAAGCACCAATAAGATATCACCTCACCACGGTCAGAATGGCTACTATCCAAAACACAGAAACTAAAACACACCGAGAAGGATGTGGAGAAAGAGACGCTCTCATATACTGTTGATGGAAATGCAAATTAGTGTAGCTCCTGTGGAAAACAGTGTGACGATTTCTTAAAAAACTGAAAACAGGCTTGCCATACGACTCAGGAATGCTACTACTGGATGTTTGTTCCAGAGACATAAACACATTGTATCAAAGAGGTACCTACACCAACATGCTTATAGTTGCACTATTCACAATAGTAAAAGAAAAAATGAAAATGTTGCATGTGTGTATGTATGTAGGTATGTATGAATGCATATGTGTGTGTGTGTATTCCACACAATGGAATATTATTCAGCTAAAGTGAAATTCTACCATTTTCATCAAAATGAATGCAACTGGCCGGTGCCGCGGCTCACTAGGCTAATCCTCCGCCTTGCGGCGCCAGCACACCGGGTTCTAGTCCCAGTCGGGGCGCCGGATTCTGTCCTGGTTGCCCCTCTTCCAGGCCAGCCCTCTGCTGTGGCCAGGAAGTGCAGTGGAGGATGGCCCAGGTGCTTGGGCCCTGCACCCCATGGGAGACCAGGAGAAGCACCTGGCTCTGCCTTCAACTCAGCGCGATGCGCTGGCCGCAGCACACCAGCCGCAGCGGCCATTGGAGGGTGAACCAGCGGCAAAGGAAGACCTTTCTCTCTGTCTCTCTCTCTCACTGTCCACTCTGCCTGTCAAAAAAAAAAAAAATGAATGCAACTGGTGGACATCAGGTTGAATGAAACAAAGCATACACAGGAAGAAAAACATAAAACAAAAAATACCTGTATATATCAATATTACTGCAAATTTGTTTTGTCAAACCTTGTTTTATATCTTTGTCAAACCTAAAACCAATGGTTAAAAATGACGTACTACTATACTTTTAACCATCTGTATTTAAAGTTTACTGCATATGAGTGAAATGGACATCTTTTTATTTGATTAATGTTTATAGCTCTTGCGTATATTCTTGCTGAACTAGGTTCTTTTTACTTTTTCTTTGTTAAATTCTTTATTTAGTGGAGCAGTTAGCCTTGACTATAATGTAAATTAAAAACATGTTATCTCAAAATTAAAAAAGAAAGGAAAGATGTTGATTAGGATGGAGATAAAGGAAGGGAAGTATCATTATATTCCTAGAACTGTACATATGAACCATATGGCATCTGTTCTGTTTGTATTAATATCACATTTACTTGAGAATCGATAAAAATAGTATTTTAATAATTACAGTTCATTTGCTGTGACCCACCCTGGGAATTTAATGTATTAATAAATTCTCTAAAATTAAAAAAAGTAGTTGCTGCATTACATTTGATTCTTAAAATTC